GGTGAGTTCTTCTCTAACGGCGAAAATCCTTTCCAGCAATTGATATGGCGGCGCCTGCGTTTCTTCGTTCTCCACCATACATATCAGTTATGGAGAATAATAGAATATTTTTGTAGATGAGAGAGAAATCCCTAATGTGAAATATTCTAATTTTAAATTCAATCCTAAAACAGTGAAAAGATATGCAACCTGACAAATAGATATTTGCGTATCCTAATACAAGATTTTACCTACATGTAGAGGATGATGATATATTTGTGCAGTAGGGGTAGCAGGGTAAAAGATGCACTTCAAACAGTGACGATTTAGAGGGAATTGGTATATCGCTAAATATGGAGAAGTTCTTTGGTAGGACTCCTAATTTCTCTATAATATATGCACATGATGTTTTTAGTCTGATGTCTTGTTTCGGAAACTAGTAACGATTTAGTAAACAAAAACAGTATCTTTTAATCAAGGGTTGGCTGCCTATTCCCCCCTCTAAATACAATAACCCTACTTATTCCCCCCTAAACTATCGAGTTCTTCATAATTCCACCCAAACATATACTTCCTCTTTAAATATCCCCCAAACTTTTTGTATCCCTCTCTCTAATCAATTCCCAAATCATGATTAGAAAAATTAAAAAGTGTTTAGAAATAGCGATTGCCCAATTAAAAAAAAACATATCCAATCCAGAATTTTTTTTAAAAAAACCCGACCCAGATTAATTGGAGATCTAATTGAAATTAAAATCTAATTGGGGTTATTTAGGTTTTTTTTCTATCTTCTTCCTGACACAAAAACTACGACACAGAAATAAACAATTGGAAAAAGTTGTTTATAGAAGTACCTCGAAATTACACTTTCCTTTATATAAAAAACTTGTTTCTTTCATTTCGTTTTCAGTCAAAGAATCACACAATTGGTGGAAGATAGAAATTAAGTTGTTTAACTGATTCTTTGTTTAGTACAAAAACATCATAACTATGGCATTTGTTGAATGACTCAAGTTTGGTCACTATAAGTTTGCTGCGGTTTGGTGACTATCCTTCTCTTATGTCTTCAAAGGCTCTTTCGTGATTCGGGTCAAGGCTTGATTCTACATTAGCTTGAGAGTCCAGTCCTCACTTTCAGATTCCAGCTAGGCTTTATGGTTTCAAGGAAGATAGAGATTCTTTGAGTCTTAAGAGATTTAACTCAAAAGTAAAAAAGCCTGTCTCATACTTTCTGTTTGCTGCCACTTCTGCCAAATCTCACAACGTTATTTGAATTCCGAGTTGCTGCAAAACATTTATTTGAATTCCGACTTTGGTATAGTTTTTGTCTTTGTCGAACATCTTTTTCTTGTTGTTGAATTGTGAAATCCTTCTAGAAAAATTAGATTTCAATTAGATCCCCAATTAAGTTGGGTCGGTTTTTTCTTAAAAAATCTGGGTCGAGTATTTTTTTTTAAATTGGGCAATCGCTATTTCTAAACGATTTTAATTTTTCTAATCTGGAAATTGATTAGAGAGGGGGATAAAAAAAGTTTGGAAGGATATTTAAAGAGGAAGTATATGTTTGGGTGGGATTATGAAGAGCTTGATAGTTTAGGGGAGAATAAGTAGGGTTAGTGTATTTAGAGGGGGAAATAGGCAGCCAACCCTTTAATGAATAGATGCATTATGCCACAAAGAGAAATTTCTCAAATAGAGAAGAACTAGATGATAACCCGCGCACATGCGCGGGATGAGTTTTATAGTAATATTTATTCATTAAATGTTTTAACATTTTGCAACACTACAATATTTATCGATTGTAAAATGATGAATATAAATGTTGGTATCTTAAATTATCATAGGTCTGGACATTTGAGACTTCGTCGATTTTGGTTTGATTGAGACTTATTTTTAAATTTTGGTATTATGCACATAATTCTCATTCGGGTTTTACTAATTATCGGATTAGATTTGGTTAGGTTCCTTCTCAATTTAGTTTAGATTAAATTGTAACCAATATCTGAATTCATCCGAAAATGTATTTTTTAAATCTCAAAAGTTGACAAAAAAATTCGATATATTCAAAAAAAATCTTTCAAATACTATAAAATATATAAATTACCTTAACATATATAAAGACGTTAACATATTCTACATATCATAGTTTGAATTTTGGTTCGGTACGGATTATAACAAAAACCCAAAGTACTAAGTTCATAAGTCCAGATCGGATATTTTTGTATAACGGCTCGAATCCATATTCACTTTTTTTTTCCGGTTCAGATTTAGGTATGTACTTCAACTTAAGGTAAAATAAATTATTTTTAAGACTTCATATGTACAAAAAGAAAATAATTTTTGCGATAAAATGAAAAAAGAATATTAGGTTTTATGCTCTCGATTTTTTTACTATTAACTCTTCATAAGTAATTTAGTTTTCTACCTTGTATATTTATAT